TGTTGATTTCCCTTCATTCCTTCCTTCTCTCCTCCCCTTACTTTCCTTCATCCCTTCTTCCCTCCACCCCTTCCTTCCCTCCACCCTTACTTTCTTTCTTCATCCCTTCTTCCCTTCCACTCCTTTCCTTTCCTTCATTCCCTTCTTCCCCACCCCTTCCTTCCCTCCTCTTCCTTCTCTCTCCACCCCTTTCCTTCTCTCCTCCCCTTACTTTCCTTCATCCCTTCTTCCTCCATCCTTCCTTCCTCCACTCTTCTTCCTTCCTTCATCCCTTCTTCCCTCAATTCTTCCTTCCTCCTCCCTTCCTTCTCTCCACCTTCCTTCTCCTCCTTACTTTCCTTCATCCCTTCTTCCCTCCAATCCCTTCCTTCCCTCCACTCCTTCCTTTTCCTTCATCCCTTCTTCCCTCCACTCCTTCCTTTCTCCTCCCCTTACTTTCCTTCATCCCTTCTTCCATCACCCCTTCCTTCCCCACTCTTCCTTTTCCTTCATCCCTTCTTCCCTCCACCCCTTCCCTCCACCCCTTCCTTCCTCCTCATTACAGGTCACAAACTCATATTCGATACAGGTATATTTTCCTTTATAAATAAACCCAACCTGACCCACCTAACCTAATTTGACCTAATCCTACCCTGACCTAACCTGACCTAACTTACCCTAACCTAACTTGACCTAACCTAACTTGGCCTAATTTACCTTAGACCTAACCTGACCTAACTTAACCTATCCTAACTTGACCTAACCTAACTTGGACCTAACTTCATTCTAACCTAACCTGACCATATCACCGAACCTAACTTGACCTGACCTCAGTGAGTGGTAAGCTCCCTTGACCCGTGGCGCCTCAAGTCAGCCCTCCTCGTCTGCCGCTGCTCTTGGTTTTTCCAGCTGTCGCTTCATTCTCTTCACCAAGTCGGTATTTTTCTCATTGTCATTTTTATCATTATTCTCTATTTCACACTCGGTATTTTTTGTCTTTTTTGTCATTATCACAATTGTTTTTGTCTCTCTCTCATATCATGGTCTTTTTTTGTGTTAATTAACCTCGAGAAGACAGACACCTTATCACCTCTATTATGTAAATAAAACCTTTCACTTCCTCCTCCTCTTTTCCCTTCTCCTCTTCTTCTTCCTGTTCCTCCTCTCTTTAATTTATCTCCTTTCTCCCCTTCCCTCTCTCCTCTTCTCCCTCTTGTCCCCCATTCCTCTTCCCTTTGATCTGCCAGTGATTCGTATTCACATTTCCTGTCCCCACTGCCGGGTCTACAGTTCCGTCCAGTAAAAACATCTCCTTGTATTGGTGACTTGCGACCATCACAATGACTCCTCCGTCATCTGAAAGCTTCCTCGGTTGTATAATGAATCGTCTCGTTCGTTTGGCTATACTCTCTCTCTCGCTCTCTATCATCTAAATCATCATCATGTCTTCCTCATCACATTATCTTTCTGGTCACTCTCATCACATTAACACCTCCACCTTGGCTCTTCCTTCCTTCTCTCACCGACTCTTCCTCACTAAGCTCCTGTCATCATCTTCCTTTCTCATCACCCAACTATTATTCCCATGTCATTTGACCCAGTCATTATTAAGCTGTTCCCTTTATTACGGTATTCTCTTTAACACACACCAATAGCTTGTTAGGTCGTTCTACCATTATAAGAAGAGGTAGATAATGGGACCACAGGTAGATAATGAGACCATTAGGTAGATAATGAGACCACAGGTAGATAATGAGAATACAGGTAGATAATTATCTACCTGTATTCTCATTATTACCTGTGGTCTCATTATAATGAAATCATTGGTAAATAATGAGATCACAGGTTGATAATGTAGAGATCACCAGGTAAGTAATTAAGCTAATGAAGCCAGGTAAGGTTATTACCTTAATTTCCAGTGTCAACCCTCCCCTGCCACACCACACCATCCTCACTACACACTTACACACATGACTACACAAACTTACACTTACATACCTATACTTACACACATGACTACACAAACCCACACTTACTTCTGAACAGAACCCTACATGCAGTACACCTTGGAAACACATCAGTGGGTTTTATATCTATTTGACTCAATACATTAACACTCCCTGTGGTGAGAGAGAGAGAGAGAGAGAGAGAGAATACCTCTGTATGAAACACATCAACATGACGTTAAAGAGGTAAGAAAGATTATTTACACGTGAAACTAAAGCTGAACATTTACAGTACAGAGAAGTGTATAACAGTATTACGACTCTTGGTAACGTTATGTTAGGTTAGGTAAGGTCTGGTTAGGTTAGGTCAGGTTCTGGCGCTCACTCCAACAATAAGGCTCACAGTTCTCCCTGGTTAGGTTAGGTTAGGTTAAGCTAGCCTTAGATTGTGTGAGGTTAGGTTAGGTTAGGTTAGGTTAGGTTAGGCTAGCCTTAGATTGTGTGAGGTTAGGTTAGGTTATTTCCACCTTAAGACCTCCAGGTGACATACAGTACACACAAGGGTGAATGCATACCAAAATATATGTATGGATGTAACCCCCCCCACCATCTGACACGCACACCTCCCACAACACACACCCACCCCTCCTACATAACCACACCCACAACACACCTCCCACACACCCACAACACACCTCCCACACACACACACCTACAGACACACCCCTAACACACCTCCCACACCCCACAACACCCCACACACACACTACAGACACACCCCTGCTCCCCACCCCCACACACACACAACACCCCCACACACACACACACACACACCCACCCCCTACACGCCCACAACACACGCCCACAGCACCCCCACACACACACGCCCACAACACCCCCCCCACACACACCCTACAGACACACCCACAACACCCCCCACACACCCCTACAGACACACCCACAACACCCCCACATACACACCCTACAGACACACCCCTGCCCACCCCCCCCACCCCACACACACGCCCACAACACCCCCACACACACCCTACAGACACACCCCCTTTACACACACACCTACAGACACACATACACACCTCTGAGACACACCCCTGCCCCCCCCACACACACCCTAGAGCCACCCCCCACACACACCTACAGACACACCCCCCACACACCCCTGAGACACACAACACACACACCCCAGACACACCCACAACACCCCCCACACACACACGCCCCCAACACCCCCCCACACACACCCTACAGACACACCCACAACACCCCCCACACACACACCCCTACAGACACACACACAACACCCCCCACACACCCCTACAGACACACCCACAACACCCCCACACACACCCTGCTACCCCCTCACACACACGCCCCACAGCACCCCCACACCCTACAGACACACCCCCACACACACACGCCCCACACACACACGCCCTGCCCCCTCACACACACCTGATACACACAACACCCCACACACACGCCCCACAACACCCCCCCACACACACACACCCCACCTTTTACACACACACACCCCTACAGACACACCCCCTTCTTCCCCCACACACACACTTACCCCCCACACACACCCCCCTCACACACACACGCCCACAACACACCCACTTCACCTAAAAGATTCAACTCGACAGACTGCTGACGTAATACCCACAAGGGAGAGATAAGGACAATTATAGCCAGGTCGTCTCGGATGGCTCATTATACAACATCACTGCCAAGTAACAAACGATTAAGCAGAATTATAGACCATTTACTCTTTATTTATATCTCCCATTAAATCGATTATTAATGGTTTTTATCCGTTGTTTGTTCTCTATAATTCACTAATACATTATCTATAACTCCTATATATATATATATAAGAGACAATTGTAGCCCATTTACTCTTCATTCATCAAAGTTGTACCGTTCTGTAGTTGTACCGTTTGTAGTTGTACCGTTCTGTAGCTGTACCGTTCTGTAGTTGTACCGTTTGTAGTTGTACCGTTCTGTAGCTGTACCGTTCTGTAGTTGTACCGTTTGTAGTTGTACCGTTCTGTAGCTGTACCGTTCTGTAGTTGTACCGTTTGTAGTTGTACCGTGCTGTGCCTGTAGCAAAAGTAACTGTACCGTAAGTAACTGTACCGTAAGTAACTGTACCGTAAGTAACTGTACCGTTCTGTAGCTGTACCGTTCTGTAGCTGTACCGTATGTAGCTGTACCGTAAGTAACTGTACCGTAAGTAACTGTACCGTTCTGTAGCTGTACCGTTATTATGTTAGGGAATGTTATATAGTTGTGTTAGTATAATGAGGAATGTGTACTAGTATCGCTGGTGTCCTGTATCATTATAACCTGTGTGTGTGTGCCACCACCCAGGCGTCTGTGTGACTCATCCCAGTGTCCCCCAGTTCTGAAACCAGTACAGTTCACACCGTGACTACCGTGTACTGGCACCATTGCTGGCCCACACTGGCCCGTTCTTCATGTACTGGCACCATTACTTGCCCACGCTGGCCCTGTCTTCATGTACCGGCACCCTTTACTGGCCCACGCTGGCCCGGCCTTCATGTACCGGCACCATTACTGGCCTACGCTGGCCCGACCTTCACGTACCGGTACCATTACTGGCCCACGCTGGCCCGGTCTTCATGTACCGGCACCATTACTGGCTCACGCCGGCCCGTTCTTCATGTACCGGCACCATTACTGGCCTACGCTGGCCCGACCTTCACGTACCGGCACCATTACTGGCCCACGGTGGCCCGGCCTTCATGTACCGGCAGCAACACAAGCCACTGGGGACCGCCATCCCCGGGGCCGTGTGAGGGAGGGAGTCCTTGGAAGGCTCTCTCGCCAGGTCTTTTATCACATCATGAATCTGTGATCGGCCACACTCAACAGGTGGGTCACTCAGGTGTTAACATTATCCAACCTTCATCACTACAACATTCTCTTCATCAACTCTCCACACGTGAACCATCAACGTATAATATGTTACAGTGGGAGGGTGAAGAGGACGGCCTCATGTGGCAGGATAAGAGGGGGAGGAACACTCACCAGCCTTGCCAGCTCCGGGATCAGCGGTACACACCTCACCTGGCCAGGTCTAGCGAGCTACTGAGCACCCGCACTCCAGCCTTTCCAGGCTCCAGTCTCCAGCCCACCTACACGCTGGCGCCACAACACTGTTACCACCCTCCTCCTGCACCACAACCTTCCCTACACACACTCTTTGCACCATTTTCATCTCCAGAGTTATTTTGTATTTATGCAATGAATATAAAATAAATCTCATATAATGTCTCTTGGAAATATAGCAATAGGCTTAATAAAACGTTAGGGAAATATAGACTAACTCTCACTTGGTAAAACTCTGTAAATCAGTATGAACCTGCGCGCTCTGGAACACTGGCGAGTGCGTGGGATCCCGCCAGATGATCACAAAAGCTCTTGATAAAAATATTATGTTTATCCATTTAAGATCATCTGATAGAATACCTGAGCGACCGCATGCGGCAGCACCCCCACAAGGTGGAGGTGAAGCGACGCAGGTACAGAGATCGCTGGCCATATAAAGGCTTCTCGTCATAATAAAATACTATAGGTTAGGTTATCAATACTAAGGATATTACCCCAGTTATCGGACAAACACACACACACACACACACACACACACACACACACAAGATATTTCTCAGTCAGATTCTACCATGTTTTTCACTTATTATCTGTACTGAAGCCCTGAAGCAGACCATAATCATTGTATCTGTCACCTGAGATAAATAACGTCTCAGACAATAATAACAAAACGTGAAATAGGTGAAGGAAATATTTGGAGGTAAGCTGAGAGGTTGGAGGTTCGTGTGAGCTGAGAGGTTGGAGGTTTGTGTGAGCAGAGAAGTTGTAGGTTTGTGTGAGCTGAGAGGTTGGAGGTTTGTGTGAGCTGAGAGGTTGGAGGTTTGTGTGAGCTGAGAGGTTGGAGGTTTGTGTGAGCTGAGAGGTTGGAAGTTTGTGTGAGCTGAGAGGTTGGAGGTTTGTGTGAGCTGAGAGGTTGGAAGTTTGTGTGTGCTGAGAGGGTGGAGGTGTGTGTGAGGTGAGAGGGCAGAGGTGTGTGTGTGAGGTGAGAGGGTGGAGGTGTGTGTGAGGTGAGAGGGTGGAGGTGTGTGTGTGAGCTGAGAGGGTGGAGGTGTGTGTGAGGTGAGAGGGTGGAGGTGTGTGTGTGAGCTGAGAGGGTGGAGGTGTGTGTGTGAGCTGAGAGGGTGGAGGTGTGTGTGAGGTGAGAGGGTGGAAGTGTGTGTGTGAGCTGAGAGGTATAATTGGGTTATCAAATATTTCACCCCCAAGTGCAGCTCTTTCCTGAAACTGAAGAAGATTTTGAGGACTACAGCAATCTCTCTCTCTCTCTCTCTCTCTCTCTCTCTCTCTCTCTCTCTCTCTCTCTCTCTCTCTCTCTCTCATATCTCTATCTCACGTTCTCAAATCATAAAATACCTCCACCGGTGTAGATAAAGAGCTTGTACACTACACTACACTACACTACACTACACTACACTACACTATCGTATCTGGTAACGTGGGTGGTAGTGGCGGCGGCTTTCCCTTCACAACATTATACCGGAAGAAATACTGCAATAACTGCTGACATACGAGAGATATTATGTTGAGATAAAAGAGAGAGAGAGAGAGAGAGAGAGAGAGAGAGAGAGAGGAAGTAGAGAGAGAGAGAGAGAGAGATGAGGAAGTAGAGAGAGAGAGAGAGAGAGAGAAAGAGAGTAAGCGTGGGTGGCTGCTGTGTAGTGCGCTTGCTCTACCAACTGGGAAGGAAATACCCACCACCACCACACACCCTCTCACCAACCCCTCCCGACTTGGCCCCCTGAGCTACTGATGAAGGGAGAGAGAGGGATAAGGCGGTAGAGAGAGGGATAAGGAGGTAGAGAGAGGGATAAGGAGGTAGAGAGAGGGATAAGGCGGTAGAGAGAGGGATAAGGAGGTAGAGAGAGGGATAAGGAGGTAGAGAGAGGGATGAGGAGGTAGAGAGAGGGATAAGGAGATAGAGAGAGGGATGAGGAGGTAGAGAGAGGGATACGGAGGTAGAGAGAGGGATGAGGAGGTAGAGAGAGGGATGAGGAGGTAGAGAGAGGGATACGGAGGTAGAGAGAGAGAGAGAGAGAGAGAGAGAGAGAGAGAGCCTACTCTACCTGTACTATTCATTAATTTCTCATTTATTGTTCGTTAGTTCTTTAAGCGTTTTCTGTTGCTGGTAAATTCTCTTCTTGCATCTTCGTGTGTGTGTGTGTGTGTGTGTGTGTGTGGTTGTTATGGTTACAGACACAGGTTAGTCGATCTCTGTGTTTGGAGGTTAGTGGAAGGGTAGGAAGGTGACATGACTCCTAGGGAGGGGTAGGTAGGTAGGGAGGCGACATGGCTCGTGGGAGGTAGGGGCAGGGAGATAGGTAGGTAGGGTGATGGTCTGTAAATTACGCCTGAATGACGTTGCAGACATGAGACAGCCACTGGTATTCCGCCTTCCTGTTCCTTCTGCCTCGATCACCTGATAATGTGGTGATGTGATCTGGTCGTCTGCCTTGTAATGTGTGATGGGAGGAGATGGTGGCGGCCGGAGGTGGTGACGAGTATTCCCACAACACGGGTTATGTCTACTGACTGTGGGGTGCGTGGGAGGGTGGAGTAGGAGGGGGTATTGTTGGAGGAGGATGGAGAGTGGGAAGGGGCGTTGGAGGGTGGAGTAGGAGGGGGTATTGTTGGAGGAGGATGGAGAATGGGAAGGGGCGTTGGAGGGTGGAGTAGTATCGTTGGAGGGGGAAACTTTTGTATATTAAATAAATTCTCGCTTCAGGGCCCGACCATCCTCGCATACAACACCCCCCCTCCCTCCCCTCCCTCCCCCCTCCGCCCCCCCTCCCCCACCACCCAGGTTGTATAAGTTGTACAATAATTTATCTGGACAGGTTCCGTAAGCACACAACCTCACTGGTCTATGGGAGGTCGTGGGATTTTTGTGGTTTTTATGAGACAGTGAACGAGATGGTAACTGGTGAAGGGAATACAGGTGGTGGTGATGGTGGTGTGGTGGTGTGTGGTGTGTGGTGTTGGTGGTGATGGTGGTGTGTGGTGGTGGTTGTAGGGCTCATGTTTTATGTATGGTGATGGTGGTGTGTGGTGGTGATGGTGGTGTGGTGGTGTGTGGTGTTGGTGGTGTGGTGTTGGTGGTGATGGTGGTGTGTGGTGGTGTGTGTGGAGGTGGTGTTGGTGGTGTGTGGTGTTGGTGGTGTGGTGATGGTGGTGTTGGTGGTGTGGTGATGTGGTGGTGTGGTGGTGTTGGTGGTGTGTGGTGTGTGGTGATGGTGGTGTTGGTGGTGTGGTGATGGTGGTGTGGTGGTGTTGGTGGTGTGGTTGGTGTGTGGTGGTGGTGGTGGTGGTGATGTGGTGGTGGTGGTGTGGTGGGGTGTTGGTGTGGGGTGTGGTGAGTGGTGGTGTGGTGTTGGTGTGTGGTGGTGTTGGTGGTGTGGTGTTGGTGTGTGGTGGTGGTGGTGTGGTGTTGTGGTGGTGATGGTGGGTGTGTGGTGTGGTGGTGATGGTTGGTTGTGTGGTGGTGGTGGTGTGTGTTGGTGTTGGTGGTGGTGGTGGTGTGTGTTGGTGTTGGTGGTGATGGTGGTTTGTGGTGGTGGTGGTGGTGATGGTGGTGTGTGGTAGTGATGGGCCTTGTTGCCCACGACACTGTATTACAATCATGTATCGTTCACTGTTGCTGCTGATCTCAATCCTAACCTAACCCCACCTCGCTTGATGGCCCGCCACTGGCCGCCACACTGGCCCGCCTCACTGCACTCGCCCACCACACTGGCCCGCCTCCTGCACTGGCCCGCCACACTGGCTCGCCTCACCACACTCGCCCACCACACTGGCCCACTCACTACCTGGCCCACCCACACTGGCTCGCCTCTGCCTCGCCTCACTGCCTCCCGCCCACCCCACACTGCCCTTACTCACTACACTGGCCCGCCCACACTGGCCCGCCTCACTACACTGGCCCGCCTCACTACACTCGCCCACCCACAACACTGCCCCACCTATACTGCATCAGACTTCCTACGATACAATCTCTACAATCTAGCTGGTCATCTCATCTCCCAGAGTGTACAGTCATCCCCGGGCGGTCCTCACAGTTGATACAATCATCCTCCCTCCCTCCCTCCCTGGAACTCATCTGCCAAGCGAAAATCAACCTTGTCGTTTCCTCTCCCATGACCCTCTATACTCCACTCTTTGTCTACTGCAGTAAGGTCTCTTGACACTGCTGGGGAGACTTGAGGCAGCAGTGTGTGTGTGTGTGTGTGTGTGTGTGTGTGTGTGTGTGTATCCCTTGACACCTAATTGGCAGGGAGATCAGGTTAGGTTAGGTTAGTGGTCTTGGTGAGGCCTCGATTCTCACTCCTTCCCTCATTACAGCGTACCAAGAGCCCACCACGGTGTGCTATAGCCATTAACCTGTATAACGATTCGCCCCTCCCCATGGACACTTCTCCCCTCCCCCATGGACCTTCCCCCTCCCCATGGGCACTTCCCCCCTCCCCCCCATGGACACTTCTCCCCCTCCCCATGGGCACTTCCCCCCCCCCTCCCCCCATGGACACTTCTCCCTCCCCATGGACACTTCTCCTCCCATGGACACTTCTCCCCCCATGGACACTTCTCCTCCCCCATGGGACATACTCCCCTCCCCCATGGGCGCCCCCCCTCCCCCCATGGACCCTTCTCCCTCCCCATGGGCCTTCTCCCTCCCCCCATGGTTACTTCTCCCCTCCCCCATGGGCACTTCCCCCTCCCCCATGGACACTTCTCCCCTCCCCCATGGACACTTCTCCCTCCCCCATGGACACTTCTCCCTCCCCCATGGGCCTTCTCCCCTCCCCCCCATGGACCTTCTCCCCTCCCCATGGTACTTCCTCCCCCTCCTCCCCATGGACACTTCTCCCTCCCCATGGACACTTCCCCCTCCCCCATGGACACTTCTCCCCCTCCCCCCCCATGGGCACTTCTCCCCCCTCCCCCCATGGACACTTCTCCCCTCCCCCATGGGCACTTCTCCCCTCCCCCATGGACACTTCTCCCCTCCCCATGGACACTTCTCCCCTCCCCATGGGCACCACTCCTCCAGTCTCCGTAGCTTTCCTACTGGATTCTGAGATGCTGTTGTGGTTCGTCTTCTATACATTATGCAGAAGGGGTAGTGCCGGATATACTCCCTCCTGAAGGTGCCGGATATACTCCCTCCTGAAGGTGCCGGATATACTCCCTCCTGAACCTAGACATGCAGCCTCAGCGTCTGGGCTGTTGTCATCAAGTGTTGCTTTGTTGGCACCTGAAGTGTTATCAGCTAGAGGTGGTTGATCACTCATGTAGTATACCAAACCTTCAGCTTCTGTCATGATAACATTTACTTTCTATGAACTATTTTATCAACAGTACCAAACCCAACCCAACCGTAAATTGTTAATCCTTATCTTTCATTTTAATCTTGGAAATGTGTTCGGTGTAATTTAAAAACATCCTTCATCCTGACTGGCCGCCACATAACCAATTACTCCAATTAAGGGAGAGACTTTACGGTGTTCGCCTCTTGGAACTGTGTATAAACTGTCTATGTATATACTGTACATAAATCTTGCTGTCTTTCTATGCTCTGAATGTTTGGGTTTTCAGTTTGTTCAAAAAGTTTCATAACCTAACCTAACCTAATCTAACCTAGATATTTGGGGTTTGTGGGTTTTGTAGGTTTTGTGGGTATGTGGCTGTGCGAGTTGTGGGTGTGTGGATTCTGGTTTTGTGGATGTTCAGGGTTTCTGCGTTTGAGGCAGATCGTTTAGGGACAAATTGTAGATGACGAGGGCGGCCAATGAGCGTCCTTGGGGGAGCCATCAAACTCATGAGGATATGTATGTAGGTCTTGACACTTTAAACACGTGATAAAACACTCATTATCACACCATTTACGACCTTATCAACACCAGAGAGTTGAGGCTATTACCGAGGAACCGTAAGTTGGTGTAGTGTGTTGGGACAAAAATAAATGAAACTTGTATTTCTGTGGAGGTCGTGGTTCTCTGGCAGCTTCACCGCCCCTTGGATCGATGGTACCGGGTGAGGGAGAGAGAGGGAGGTGAGGGAGAGAGAGAGGCAGGGTGAGGGAGGAGGAGAGAGGTGATGAGGATGAGAGAGGGATGAGGGAGAGAGAGAGAGAGGGTGAGGGAGAGAGAGATGGGGGTGGGGTAAGGGAGAGAGAGAGAGAGGGAGAGAGAGAGAGAGAAAGACAGGGTTTAGGGAGGAGAAAGAGAGAGGTGGTGAGGATGAGGAGTGAGGGAGAGAGAGAGAGAGAGAGAGAGAGATATTGGATAAGGGACTGCAGTATTAGGAACTGCATGAGAGACTAGAGTATGAGGGACTGGAGTATCAGGGCCAAAAGAAGATAAATGTTAAATGGTTCCAACCTCAATGTTTTGCCACAGTATCACACGACAGCTGTGGGACCTGACCAATGACACACTAAGGGAACAAAGCTTACTAACCTAACCTAACTGTGGGCTGCGTAATATATACATTAGATTCACCACATTGTTGGACACTTCCGGACGGTTGCCAGTACAGTACGGCTCCGGTACCATAACACACACACACACACACACACACACACACACACCTCAGATAATATTTACACAGTGCTGGAAACATTTCTTGAAAATATTCCTCAAAATCCTATTACTAGGAAAAAATATATATAATAGTATAGAAGTATTAACAATCCCCCATTCTTTAAAACTACTTAATGAAAATATAAAGTAGCTGGTCTGAATTATACTCAAGGAGAAAAAGTATAAAGTAGTTTTGTTAATACAGTAGTAATGGTGAGGGAGGAGACGCCACAGTGTGTGTTAAGGAAGACGTTACTGTAAAACTTGGCAGGTCAAGATCACCTTACTCGGCAGTGGTCACCTCGGAGCCTCTATTGGTGCTGATGAACCTGTGTGTTTGTGTGTGTGTGTGTGTGTGTGTGTGTGTGTGTGTGTGTGTGTGTGGCAGCAACTGTTGTGTCAGTTATCGGAAATCTGAGTTTATATTGTCCTTTAGTTTAGTATCGCGTGAAGGCTCTGTCAATAACACACACACACACACACACACACACACACACACACACACACACACACACACACACACACACACACTTTTATTGCGGCCATGAGTGAGTGCCGATGTCTGGAATTCGTTTATTGAACCTTCAGTCTGCAGTTGACGATGAACGATGTTGCTTATGAGTGAAAATGGACATTGTTTTACTTGTGTTTTATGAAGAGAAAGTTTACCTGGAAAATATCTAATATATCTGGGTATTTTATTATTGTTGAAAAAGTCAATTGTTTTTTATCATTGTTTGGCAAAGACTTTATTTATTACGGTTTAATACACACACACACACACACGTCCAATTAACTCTTAAAAAAGCCTAAAAAACATGACCTTTTTATTATACTAATAGCTATATATCTGCCTCCTTATCAACACAACTGTGACTCACCCATAAACTAGTGAACAGTTTATATTTCATCATAACATCTTAGTTCCTGTATAATGAGACTCAACTACTGTACTTTGTTATGTGTTGTGTTGTGTTGATATAATGTGTGAGGTAATGTTCTCCACTCTAGTTGTGATCAAGATTAATTACACTGAAGGTATTATATAATCATTGTAGCATCATAGGAAAGGTTAAAGGACAGTTAAGAAATATCCAACTTGCTTGTGACCATAATCAAACATATCAGTGGTTTGTGGTGGTAAGAGAAACACAAGTTGAAGTTGGAGTTTATTAAGCAACGTTTGGATCCTTGGTCTTGTTCACACAGACTGTCAGACACACACACAGGAACACACGTTTTAATATCAGGTTAATTCTCCCGGGCGCCTCCATATGGCTTCTGATTGGCTGGCTCTTGGTTCCGTCTCCCACACCGACGTCACCATTAACCTTCTCGCTGTTTTTGAAGACATAGGAATACTTCTCGATGATTGGTCGTCTGGTTTGTTGTTGTTATTATTTGCTGCTTGTACTGCCCTCCTCATGTACTGCCCTCCTCATGTACTGCCCTCCTCATGTACTGCCCTCCTCATGTACTGCCCTCCTCATGTACTGCCCTCCTCATGTACTGCCCTCCTCATGTGCCTCCTCATGCTGCCTCTCATGTACTGCCCTCCTCATGTACTGCCCTCCTCATGTACTACCCCTCTCTGTACTGCCCCTCTCATGTACTGCCTCTCATGTACCCTCTCATGTACTAGCCTCCTCATGTACCCTCCCCATGCGCCCCTCCTCTGCCCTTACCCTCATGTACTACCCTCCTCATGTACTACCCCTCTTGTACCCTCCTCATGTACCCCTCCTCATATACTACCCCTCTCATTACCCTCTCATGTCTGCCCTCCTCATGTACTGCCCTCCTCATGTACTGCCCTCCTCATGTACTGCCCTCCTCATGTACTGCCCTCCTCATGTACTGCCCTCCTCATGTACTGCCCTCCTCATGTACTGCCCTCCTCAAGTGTCTGATCTAGAGCTTCATTACCAGAAATAAATAAACAAAAGTTTTCATAATTACGACAATAATTGAGCTAGCGTGCAGACCCCTCACTCGGGCGAGGCCACAATAAGCATCTAACCAAGAATAAATTAGTGTTTTATTTTCACCGTTGATTCAGTAGCACCAGCGAACGAGAAGAGCAACAGTTCCCAATAACCACTCGTTATATCCCTGGCTTCTCACACCAGTTGCTCTGTTTTTAACGATGTTACCCTCAAGGACGAGGTCGGTAGTGGCCCTCCAGACTAGTTTCTCGATGGATACACGACATTCCAGTAAGAGGTGGCCCTTGATGAAGAGCCGACGGTGGGCGCTAAACCCTACTGAACGGGAGACAACTTGCTTGTTATTTACTGTATTCTGTACTGTGACCTCTGACATGAACTCCTTCACGACCTGTGGTAGAGAGAGAGAGAGAGAGAGAGAGAGAGAGAGAGAGAGCATCCATTAATTGTTACTTTGGTAAATTTTTCTTCTGTAGTAAATAATTCTTAAATCTTTATTTTTTGTCTTTTACAGAAAACTGAAAAATATTTACACGTTTACATTTAGTCACTGAATGAGAAACGTCTATAACTACATCAGCCAGAGGATTATAGATTGACATATATCAATGTGGTATATTGGACATTATAGCTGATGATTGTGGTAAAGGGAGGAGTAATTAATGATTATTGTGATCTTAATAATTATGAAAGATCTTGTAATATTCCTTATCTCACTGTACTGTACATTGGCTCCTGGTATAACACACACACATACACACACACACACACACACACACAAAACCCTTCTATCACCACACAACCTCAACCCTCTACAGTAACCAACCCAAACAAACTGTAACAACCTACCGGAGTGTGGTTGACGTAGAAGGATATTCTGGGTGTGGGTGTTGCTGGTGGCGACTCACAGTGACCCGCCACCCACTCCCCCTCACTCACCACCCCAGCTGTCCCCCTCAACACTGGGGAGCCTGACAGAGGGGCTGTAGGGAGAGAGAGAGACGGAGACAGACAGGCAGAAAGAGACAGAGAGAGACAGACAGATATAGAGAGAGACGGATAAACAGACATACAGAGATAAAGAGAGACAGACAGACATAGAGGGAGACGGCTAAACAGACAGAGAAAACCTCTCAATAAGTTAATGGAAATAATGAGCTTTACTGCCAAGAGCCTTTTCAGAGAGACATCACCTGTGTTGTCGGCATCAATGGCTCGTAATGAACATAATCTGCTGCTTGAAGGAAAGGTTATTGACTAGGGGATTATTTTCAAAGTGGTGGTTGTTGTTGTTGGTATTGTTGTTGTTATAGTTGTTAGCCAAAATAAACCTAACCTAACCTAACCAAACGTCCCCTAACCTTACCCACAACATGTAGAGTGATGGAAGCATTAGCGGTGAGGAAGGTTGGCGGCGCCTCTGTCGTCACCTCACACGTGTACACTCCAGCGGCCTCCTGACCCACCTCCAGCAGCCACACTTGCTCTGGCTCACCTTCTGGTCCCTGTACACGATGACCACATTAACACTATAAAATGGTGTGGTTTGTGACGGTGTTTGGAACTGATGTTAAATATTTATACTGTATGTGTGTATGTGTGTATGTATGTATGTTTGTATGTATGTATGTATGTATGTACTGTATGTATGTATGTTTGACGGTGTTTGGAACTGATGAAAAATGGTATATGTGTATGTATGTATGTCTGTCTGTTATATCTTTTTTTTTATTTTAATATAATACTAGCAGAAACGCAGCCCTCTTGGCGGCTCATTCGCTAGACCACGGTAGGGCGCCACCCTTCGGGAGGCTCCACATTGTCTCACTGTTCAATCCCCAAAACTTCTTCTTCCATCAATAGTTCATTAACGGTGTAAGTAAGTTCCACCATGTTTTTCACTACAACGGTACAGCAAAGTATATTTTTTTAGCATTAACTGTTATTATTTGTTGTCTAATCATCACTACATATAACACCATCTATCATCACTACATATAACACCATCCATCATCACTACATATAACACCACCCATCATCACTACATATAACACCATCCATCATCACTACATATAACACCATCCATCATCACACATATACATATAACACCACCATCATCAACATATAACTTCATCCATCATCACTACATATAACACCATCCATCATCACTACATATAACACCATCCATCATCACTACATATAACACCATCCATCATCACTACATATATAACATCATCAATCATCACTAAATATAACACCATCCATCGTCACTACATATACCACCATCCCTCATCACTACATATAACACCATCCATCATCACTATATATAACACCATCCATCATAACTATATATAACACCTCCATCATCACTATATATAACATCATCCATCATCACTACATATAACACCATCCATCATCACTACATATAACACCATCCATCATCACTATATATAACACCATCCATCATCACTACATATAACCATCCATCATCACTACATATAACACCATCCATCATCACTACATATAACACCATCCATCATCACTACATATAACACCATCCATCACCATCATCACTACCATAACACCATCCATCATCATACATATATCATCACATATCCATCATCACCACCATCCATCATCACTACATATAACACATCCATCATCACTACATATAACACCATCCATCATCACTCATAACACCACATCATCACTACATATAACACCATCCATCATCACTACATATAACACCATCCATCATCACTACATATAACACCATCCATCATCACTACATATTTCACCACCCATCATCACTACATATAACACCATCCATCATCACTACATATAACACCATCCATCATCACCACATATAACACCATCCATCATCACTACATATAACACCATCCATCATCACTACATATAACACCATCCATCATCACTACATATAACACCATCATCACTACATATAACACCACCCATCATCACTACATAACACCATCCATCATCACTACATATAACACCATCCACCATATCATCACCATCATCACTACATATAACACCATCCATCATCACTACATATAACACCATCCATCATCACTACATATAACACCATCCATCATCACTACATATAACACCACCCATCATCACTACATATAACACCACCCATCATCACTACATATAACACCACCCATCATCACTACGGATCGGTAAAGTAGTTTCCGAGATTCTCGTGCGGACACACACACAGACAGACAGACTTATTTGTTTTATATAGATAGATCACCCGAAGAATCTCCACCCCGGCTTATTTTACCTGAAGATTAACCATATTATTATTATTATTATTATTATTATTATTATTATTATTATTATTATTATTATTGTTATTGTTATTATTATTATTATTATTATTATTATTATTATTAGTCTCATTATTATTGTTATTATTATTATTATTATTATTCTCATTATTAATATTACTATTATTATGAACGTTTATATTTTATTGGGTCTTAGTAGCAAAACCCAAGTTGTCTTATCCATTTATTCAGGAACAACTAAGACCATTCCAGAGTGTAGATCAACCGTAACTTATCACTGTAACTATGAGTGTTAAGAGAAGGACGGAGGCTATGTAAAGAGACCTGCTTAAAGACGTCCTTCCTATGTGAGTCGTTGAGGGAGAGTCAGGCCCCAGGGCGTCAGTGCCCCGATCGCCCGACCCTTTCTACGCTGACCTAAGCTGTCTCTGGCCACACCTTATAAGGAAGGGTGCCGACCAGATGCCATCAAGATGACTCATCATAGCCAGTGGAAAGTTACAGGGGGTGATTATGTATATAAATCAATATGTAATTACCCATTTATATAATCATTCTGTTTATGAAACAGGGGCCATTACATTATTATCATTATTATTTTTATGAATGTAAACATAATTCAGGTTAAGTAGAATGTCAATATATACTTGTTGATAACTTTCTCATTAATACTGTTGACCTTGACACAGTCACGTCGTCCCCAGTCTCTCTCTCTCTCTCTCTCTCTCCTGTCATTACTCCCTTCCCAGTCTCCCTCACAACACAACTCTCCCTCACAACACACAACTCTCCCTCACAACACCCCCCCCTTCTTTATCTCCCTCTCCCTAGCGTCACCTCCACTAATCACTCCTCGGCGACGATAAAGGCAAAAACCACCCATTAGTAGGGCCTGACCTGCCTGGCCCCGCCCACCTCATAAATAATCAAGAGAGAGCCACACCCAGCAGCCCGAGGCTGTACCGCACACGTCATCGCCGCCGCTAACCTAACCTAACCGCGCCGCTCACGGATTCATGCATTGTTCTCACACTCATTGAGAAAATTATTATTATGAAATTACCTAACCTAACCTAACCTAACCTGCCAGACTCACCAGCTGTGCTTGGACCCCCTGTATTGGGAACCAGGCCAGAGGTCGGGTGGTGACGTTACTTATTGGGTCCAGCACCAGTACATCCTCCCCGTCAACCATGGTTCCGTTCTGCTGCTCGCCTGGTGGTGTGGGAGGGTGAGGTTAGGTTAGGTTAGGTCAAGTTATAACCTAACCTGACCTATTTCAGTTAATCACTAACAAAGAAATAATTGTTGTAAATTAATTATAGTGGAATATCTATTTAATGGACTAAATTGAGATGAAAGTTTGTTATATCGAGGGAATTTTAGATGTGAACCCTCTATTTAACGGACCAAATAAATAAAGTCCGTTATATCTAGGGTCTGTTAGACGCAAAACCTCTATTTAACGTACTAAATAAATAAAGTCCGTTATATCTAGTCTTAGATACAAAACCTCTATTTAACGGACAAAATAAATAAAGCTCGTTATATCTAGGGTCTGTTAGATACGAAACCTCTAATTAACGGACTAAAATAAAGTCCGTTATATGTACGGTGTGTTATAACGACTGACTGTAGTGGACTGTGTAGCGGAGGAGGACTGAACCATCGTGCCACCAGAGGACAGAGTAGAGAGCGTCGCCTTCCAGATCAAACCTGCAGGTGAGGCTGACGTTACCGCCCTCCACCACGTATCTGGGTCCTTCTAGAGCCTTCATCCTCACGCCCACACTCACGCCCATCACACACCCTGTCACACAACAGGGAGAGATAGAGAGGTGTGGGAAGAGACAGTGACACGTGTTGTGGAGTATTAAAAGGATATATTAATAACATCAGTATAAATTATCAAGTTTTTACATGTATGATAAAACATCTGGGGCTTTAACTATATAATTATGAACATATAATAAGGGGAAATAAACGAGAGAGAGAAGGAGGGGAGGGATAGGGAGATTGATGGATAGAAGGAGGGAAGGGTAGAGAGATTGATGGATAGGAGGAGGGAAGGGTAGAGAGATTGATGGATAGGAGGAGGGAAGGGTAGAGAGATTGATGGATAGAAGGAGGGAAGGGTAGAGAGATTGATGGATAGAAGGAGGGGAGGGTAGAGAGATTGATGGATAGAGAGAGATAGGATGAATTAAGCTCTGACTCACCGATGATTAAGTGAACTAGAACAGAGGCCACAACCATCATCCCCAGCAGCTGTTGACGGTCACTGCCCGTCACTCTGCCACTGTTGACGACACTCACACTTCCCCAGCAGCTGTTGACGGTCACTAACCCGTCACTCCACCACTGTTGACGACACTCACACTTCCCCAGCAGCTGTTGACGGTCACTAACCCGTCACTCTGCCACTGTTGACGACACTCACACTGTCATAATGTCACAAACGCCCAACAATGTGTCTTAGACGTTATCACCCATAGATTTGCTTTTATTTTAAGTCACTTTTGTTTTATATAACTTTACTGAAAACTATTGTTGGGGAAATATAGTTCACCTGAACGTCTTACTAGGCGACGCATTTACTTCCATCACTTTAGCAATGTTATTTCTTTTGACTATTTAATGTATATACGACTTGTTCCTCTGTTAGGTTAGGTTAGGTAGGGGCTGGTGCAATGGTCAGCATGCTCGCCTCGCAAGAAAGTGAATCCGGGTTTGATCCCCGGCAGCGTGAAACTATGGGCAAGTTTCTTTACGCCATTTGCCTCTGTCTACCCAGCAGTAATTGGGTCATGCAACTCGTTAGCTCAGGGTGTGGTTGTGGTGTTGGCGACAGTTTCTACACCTTAAACAAATTCACGCCTAGGTGGCCCTTAGGTCGGCCTTACACGAGGGGCAACCATTATTATATTATAATGAAGACTAACAAGTGCAGGTCATTATCCCACACCGGCCCCTCCCCTAACCTGTGGTCCCTCACTAGTGGTCGCCACACACACACACACACACACACACACACACACACACACACACACACACTGTAAACTATAATAATTTGTATGTTCAATTCATATTCCTTTTTCTTTCAGTAATGAAATCTTTTGTTCAACGACCCACCCACCCCACGTCTGTGTATGCATTAAGTAATTTTTGCCCAATGTATATTTTCAGCCTTCGGGCTGCAGAACTTTTTCCATAAACCGTTAATTATTATTATTATTATTATTATACACACACACACACACACACACACACAGACATACACATATACAATCAGAGTTTCTCGGGTTTCACGGTTGGAGCCAGCAGGCAGGGCAGGGCAGGGGAAGGAGGGACAGGGAGTCAGCGGAGAGTGAAGCCTGACAACACCCCCACCACCTTCTTCAATTACTCCTCCCACCTTCCTGTGATTCCTTACTACGGTACAGACAACACCAGAAAGCCACGCCACGCCACGCCACGCCACGCCACCGCCACGCCACGCCACGCCACACGCCACGCCACGCCACCGCCACGCCCGCCACGCCACCCACGCCACCGCCACGCCACGCCACCGCCACGCCACGCCACGCCACCGCCACGCTACTTACTCCCACTCCACGCCATTTATTCCCTCTTCAAGGCCACTCCACCAAACGCCACTCCCACGCTCTTCCACGCTCCGTTGTTATTCCTAATTATGTTAACAGAACTTCTCTCTCGTCAACAGCATCTTGAGCCAAACTTTTAAACAAACAGAATCACATCAACAAATTTCATATCGTGTTCATAGTATTAGTTTACCAAAGTTTTGTCGGTTATCTGCACAATAATTTGAACCATCACTGTCAAAACTAATTATACATTTTCTTTTCCACAAACAAATAATTTTACTAGGTTTGGTTTGGTTAGGTTAGGTAAAAGCAGTTTGAGTTTCCTAATCCTCGAGGCAGATCTTGTGTTTTTTAAATACTGTACAATCATTGTATTTTGATGATAAAAACCATGACAGTATTTTGGTAAGGCTTGTGTAAGAATTATTACATTATCACCGTTATACCAACAGTGACTGACTTTGGTATAAAAAACATGTTCTCAAAATCATAATATGTTGCTAGGAAGGTCACTGTTGCGTCACAGAGTTACTACGTCATAGAAACAATATTTACTGTTCTCAAAGTTTATATTTTCTATTTCCGAAATCACTTCATAAAATAGAGCTTGGAATTATATTATTTTCTGGGACTAAAAATTCTCACTTTCCAATAATTATAATAAACATAATTTTTGTTCTCCCATATTTTCAAACTTTATCCAAACACGAACTCTCTTTACGCCTCAGAACACCGCGACGTCAATTCTCTACAGACAATTACACTCTCGCCGCGGCAGCCATCCTCCACCCCACGACGTGATCACCATTAGTGTGGTCAGTAGCGTCGTGACCACCTCCGCGCTGCCTAGTGAAGACCCGCCCCACCTGCTTGATGTCCTGGGGGGAGGGGGGGGGAGGTGGAGGTAGGAAGAAGGCGTGGCAGTATAAAGGAGGAGGGTTGGCCAGTGTGAAGGTTGAGAGTAAGAAAGAATAAAAAGAATTCTCATTGTTACTTATGTATTGATACCTTAAATATATCCAATTACTGTACATTTATTTTTCATTGTTGTGAGGGAGGAAACAATTATCTCTGTATATATTTGTCCAGGGTGGTTTGAGAGAGTTACAGATTGTACTTGGTTCTTAACATTGTGCAGTCATAGAATTACATTAAAGGCAGTTTGATAATCCGTTCAGGTGTTGGTGTTGTATTTCGGGTTGATTCAGGTGTGTTAAGGGAGATTTTAGTTCACGATGATGTACTGTAGTTGTATTTCCTGAGGTCAGCTTCTCCCTCCAGGCCAAACTCACCAAGATTCCACCTTCGCGTCACTTCTGGGATGCATTGTGGATCTCTGTGTTAAATTTCAGCGACCTTTGATCAAACCTGTGGCCGGGGATAGCGAACTCACACACACACACACACACAGAGCTTCAGCACACGTCCCTCCTTCATCACACACCCTCCTTCACCACACACCCTTCTTCACCACACACCCTCCTTCACCACACACCTCCCTCACCACACTCTCCTTCACCACACACGCCTCCCTCACCACACACCCTTCCTTCACCACACACGCCTACCTCACCACACACCCTTCCCTCAACACACACCCTTCCCTCACCACACACCCCTCCCTCACCACACACCCTTCACCACACACGCCTCCCTCACCACACACACCCTTCCTTCACCACCCTAAAAAATATATAGAACGGTCGTGACGCACCAGAAATTTGAGAATAATTTCCTGGTAGAAGCGTGACGGGGCGGGCTGTTGGTTCCTGGCCTCCCTGTGTCGCGGTTATTATCACGGCGTGTAAACAAGGCCCGTGTTCCAGCCTGCGTCACTGTATGAAACCACGAGCATAAATAAGTCCTTAGCTGATATTTTGCCTCAGTCTGTGTGATATTCTGCCTCAGTCTGTGTGATATTCTGCCTCAGTCTGTGTGATATTCTGCCTCAGTCTGTGTGATATTCTGTCTCAGTCTGTGTGATATTCTGCCCCAGTCTGTGTGATATTCTGCCTCAGTCTGTGTGATATTCTCTGCCCCAGTCTGTGTGTGATATTCTGCCCCAGTCTGTGTGATATTCTGCCCCAGTCTGTGTGATATTCTCCTGCCTCAGCCTGTGTGATATTCTCTGCCCCAGTCTGTGTGATATTCTGGGCTCAGTCTGTGTGATATTCTGCCTCAGTCTGTGTGATATTCTGCCCCAGTCTGTGATGATATTCTGCCTCAGTCTGTGTGATATTCTGCCCCAGTCTGTGATATTCTGCCTCAGTCTTGAGCACTCTGCCTCAGTCTGTGTGATATTCTGCCCCAGTCGTGTGATATTCCCTGCCTCAGTCTGTGTGATGCATTCTGCCCCAGTCTGTGTGATATTCTTGCCCCAGTCTGTGTGATATTCTCTGCCTTCAGTCTGTGTGATATTCTGCCCCAGTCTGTGTGATATTCTGCCCCAGTTCGTGTGATATTCTGCCTCAGTCTGTGTGATATTCTGCCTCAGTCTGTGTGATATTCTGCCTCAGTCTGTGGGATATTCTGTCTCAGTCTGTGTGATATTCTGCCCCAGTCTGTGTGATATTCTGCCTCAGTCTGTGTGATATTCTGTCTCAGTCTGTGTGATATTCTGCCCCAGTCTGTGTGATATTCTGCCTCAGTCTGTGTGATATTCTGCCCCAGTCTGTGTGATATTCTGCCTCAGTCTGTGTGATATTCTGCCCGTCTTGAAAAGTGCTGGTAGTTTACTTAACTGTCTTGTGTGTAAAACTTCCCCCAATTTGCCCCCCCCACCAAAAAAAAAACGTATTCAAATGTTTCCTGTCGATATTCAAATGGATCGTATCTTTTTGTTGAATGAAATCTTGATAAACTGTTATTCGTTAACGGTGAAAAATAACCGGGTAGTACAGTAGTCTTTTTCCCTTTTCCCTTCGTTTGTTCCGGGTTGTACAACTGACCATAACAAGAAAATTCGATCATTAAGGTTAGGTTAGTTTACGTCAGGTCAGGTCAGGTCAGGTTAGATTAGGTAAGGTGAGGTCAGGTCTGGTTAGATTAGGTAAGGTGAGGTCAGGTCAGGTCAGATTAGGTAAGGTCAGGTCAGGTCAGGTCAGGTTAGATTAGGTAAGGTCAGGCCAGGTCAGGTTAGATTATGTCATGTCGTTATTTTTTTCTTTCAACAAACCTTAAGAATTTATCACATACATTGAAACCTCCCTATAACGGATTCTGTGTCCATATAATCCGTTAGATGGGATTTTCACATCTAAAGGACCCTCGATATAACGGACTTTCAGCTCTATATTATAATCCGTTAGATAGAGATTACACATATAAGGAACCCTAGATATAGCGGACAAACTCTCCATATAGCCCGTTAAATAGAGGTTTACTTGTAATACCATATACCCAAAACGTATCACCAGATTTTGAAACAGAAAACGGGAACTGTGAAGGAGTGACCATGGTAGACGAGGGGAGGAGTGACCATGGTAGACGAGGCGAGGAGTGACTATGGTAGGCGGATGCGAGGGGTGACCATGGTAGACGAGGCGAGGAGTGACCATGGTAGACGGAGGCGAGGAGTGACCATGGTAGACGGAGGCGAGGAGTGACCATGGTAGACGAGGGGAGGAGTGACCATGGTAGACGGAAGCGAGGAGTGACCATGGTAGACGAGACGAGGGGTGACCATGGTAGACGGAGGCGAGGGGTGACCATGGTAGACGGAGGCGAGCGTCATGTAGCGTCCACAGTGACCTTCCTGCTGCCCCCACCACGCCGCCACTAACAAGGTAATGACGGCATGTTATCTCCTGCCCTCCCCTCACCTCCCCTCCTGGTTCTGCTGGGGGGTCAGTCTTCCCCAGGGACCTGATAGGCAGCACTCGGGGCAGCCACCACCCTACTAATGAATGGCTGCAGGGGACATTGGTGGTGAAAAACCTTACTGGTAGTGGTGGAGAGTAGTGGTGGTGGTGGTGAGTGGTAGTGGTGGTGTTGGAGAGTGGTGGTGGGAGGGTGGTAGAGAGGATAGTGGTGGGTGGTGAGGTGGTGGTGGGAGTAGTGGTGGGTGGGAGAGGTGGGTGGTGGTGGTGGGAGAGTGGTGGTGGGAGAGTGGTGGTGGGTGGGTGGTGGTGGTGGGAGAGGTGGTGGTGGAGTGGAGAGTGGTAGTAGTGGTGGTAGTGGGAGAGGGTAGTGGTGGGTGAGGAGAGGGTGGTGGTGGGTGGGAGAGTGGTGGTGGTGGTGGAGAGTAGTAGTAGTGGGTGGTGGTGGTGAGAGTGGTAGTGGTGGGAAGGTGGTAGTGGTGGGAGAGTGGTGGTGGTGGTGGAGAGTGGTGGTGGTGGGAGAGGGTGGTGGTGGGAGTGTAGTGGTGGTGGGTGGGAGAGTGGTGGTGGTGGAAAGTGGTGGTGGAGAGTGGTAGTGGGTGGTATGAGATTGTGGTGGTGGAGTGTGTTGGTGGTGGTGGTGGTGGTGGTGTTTTGTTGGTTGCCGAGGAGTGGTGGTGTTGTAGTGGTGGTATGGTGGTGGTGGTGGTGGTAGTAGTACTGGTGGTGAACCCATGTACACGTACTGTATATAATACAGTATTGAGTTGTTTACCCGCGTCGTTTAAGTTTTCTATAGTTTACCTCACAGTAATATTCTTTCTTTTAGTTGATTTCTCTCACTCATGGGAGACTTCATTATATTCCATTAACTCCTCGTTCATGTTAAGTTTATAGTCATATAAGGAAGGTATTTTATGTTTATATATTTTAATAATTTCTAGCTATTACACGCAATAATAATTATATAATGAACCTAAAATATTTGTTGATTTTACTGACTCGCTCAGCTCAGCAGGTTAATTTACTGTAGAAAATCTCTTACTTAAGTTGTTATAATATTATCTTATTATCTTATGGTGGTAAACGATGTCTTATATAAAACAAAGTAATGTTTACTACATGAATTAATTACCAAGAAGCTGTGGCAATAAACATATAAAAGGTTATCCCTATTTAACCTAACATAAATATAACCAATGATTTACAACCCCAATTATAGAATATAACTCATAACCTAACGTAAACGCGACCAAGAAATTGATAAATAGCCACCCCACCCTCCCCCACCCCACCCCCCCTACCCTCCCACCCCTAAAAAAAAGATGGACAAACAGACAACATGTAGGGGGAGTAATTATTCTACTACCCCCTCTCCTCCTCCTCCTCCCCCCAAATAATAATTTAGTTGGTTGTTGAGCTGTGTTGTGTGGGTTAGGGCGTTTGTTTAGTTAGGTTGCTTTCGGTTAAGTGAGTCTCTCTCTCTCTCTCAAGTCCTTCCTATCAGACTTGACCCAACTGGTACTGTTTATTAGTTTATTTATTTATCCATTTATTTATTTATTTTTAGCAATTTGTAGTAGTGGTCCACAGTGAGATGAAAAATACCTACACATCCTTCTTTTTATTTAGGCTCAACTACAAGAAAAAACTATGAAAGCTGCCATTATTGTCCCTCCATCTCCCGTGTGTAACAACAACAATAATAATAATAATAATAATAATAATAATAATAATAATAATAATAATAATAATAATAATAATAATAATAATAATAATATTAAACAATCGTCAAATATTTCAATCTCTTATTATCAACTTTTTTCCACTACTAAAAATTAATTTAATCTTGAATGGGACTATTTTTTTTATTAAATAATAATAATAATATATCAATGGTAACGAAGTAATATAAATTGTATGTCACTCTTATTTACAAAATCTGGTGTCTTATTTACTCAAACAGTACAGTTCAAGTCTCTCTTCTTCCCCTTCACTCTTCTCTGTGACAACTGGGCCTTCAGAGGACGACTAATGGACCAAAACCATCTGCCAGGAGGGTTAGAGGCTCCCCACTGTACAGTATATGTTATAAAAAAGGTCGAGCTTGAGGGACCATTACTAACACTCTATTAGGAACTTGAAGAGCGATTCACATACACCCATAACCTAACCTAACCTTAAAAGAACACAAGGGAGTTATATAGTAAGAGTAGTGTACCGTCACACCTCACTCACCAGGACACAAGACACGATGATCATATGTTGTCAAAGGTCTTGGACAGTCATGGCCCCAAAAGTGACTGATGTTTTTCTTTAGTTTGTGAGGCTTTGTATTGTTGTTCTTCGGTCATATTTACATCTTTAAAAGAATCTGTCGTATTTTTCCAGCATTGCATACTTTGAGGGGAAGAATGAGAGAGAGCCAGGTGAGGAGGAGGTGTGTGTGTGTCCCACCTCCTGCATGGGGTCAAGTGTCACCATGACCAGCTGTGTGGTGAGGGTGTAGCATCACTGTCAGCCTCAGTCATCAGTACGCCGCCACTGCACCAGGCAGCAGCAGTGGCAGCAGCTGTAGAGATGGCTGGCCACGCGGTGCTGGGGCCCAAAATAACATGGCCCAGTTTTGGCATGGTTTCCGAGGCTTGGCGGAGGTGTGTGGGGGCGCCCCGTCCGGGTACCTGGTGGCGAGGCAAGCAGTTGGCCCCACACCCGGCACCCGTCCTGCCGCGTCCCCCTATACGCTAGCTTGGTTGTGGTTGTGCGTGTGTGTGTGTGGTCATGTTGTGTTCTAGGAAATAATAGCGGTGGTTCATATTCTCGCCCTGCTGGATCCCTTGCTTCACTCTACTGTACTGTGATAACTATGTAAAGCTGCTCTACGCTGTGATTGGGTAAGTATCCCGGGCTGGGCTGAGTGAGGGGGCTGGCACTCACTGTTTCCTCCGGACCTTTATAGCCGGCACGGCACCCAGCGCTCAACACACTGCAACATTGTTGATTACTCTCCCACTTTCTCAATGCGTCGCTTGCATTATATTTTGTTGCATGCATCTTACTTCCTTATTGCTCTCATAGATTAATCAAGGCAGTGGGAAAATTTCCCTTAATATGTAAATAAGTGATGGCGTCCTTACAGCATTATACCGTAAATGTGTTGTAAAATTATTATTAATATTATATAATGACATTATAAATAAATCACAACTGATAGTTTATCTTTACAACAATGAACGTAAAAACATTATTATTACTCTAAAATGTCTATAGTTAACACCTGGGGCGCGAGGGTCTGTATGTTAGCTCTAGTCATTTGACGTTAACCAAATAAAATAATAAAAGTGGTATCCAATAATGAGGTAATTAATGGAGATAATTATTTCACCTTGTAGGTGTATAATTGTCTATCATTGTATGTTAATAATAATCTATCATCATCCCTCTTGGCCCCTGTCAGGTACTATAATTAGTTGGACCTGATGTTTACGTGTGCAATGCAGTCGAGTTTGTTTCCTTATAACGGATCAGGTTCCGTTTTTTATAATATTCTATGAGCGGATAGATACTCCTATTAGCACTGATACTAGTGAAAACCTCCATATAACGGACTTCTCTCTCCATTAAATCCGTTAGATTGAGAGAGTCACATCTAACGGACACTCGATATAAAGGAATTTCATCTCTATATAGTTTACTAAATGGAAGTTTCACATCTAACGGACCCTCTATATAATGGACTCTACCTCTCTCCATATAGTCCGTTAAATAGAGGTTTCATAAATACTGTTGTTTTGTCTCTTACTTACAACTTGTAGGAGTGTTGTTAGTGTTGTGTTTAACGTTGTGGATTACATAAGGTTGTTAGACCCACCAGTGAGGCGAGGATGTTATAGCGAGCTGTTGTTTTGTTTACAATGTTTACTGTCTCTCTCTCTCCCCTCTCTCACCCTCCCCTTCCTCTCTCAACCTACATATTTCTATTTTTCTAACCTAACCTAACCTAACCTAACCTAACCTAACCTAACCTAACCTAACCTAACCACACACATCATCACTATCATCTCTGTGCTCTGAAACCCAATACCTTTTCCTGAGTACGTGACGTCAACACTACACTCGACTACCACCCCCACCACCTGCCCTTACCTCTGTTGATGCTACATACTTACATAGTCTACCTCACTAACCTAACCTAACCTAACCTAACAGATATACGTCAATGAATACATAGTATTTTATATTAGGGAAGATAATATACCTTTTTTTTTCATTAGTGATCGCCTCTTAGATATCTGAAGAAGAAACATTAACACGTAGAAGATTTATAATCAACGTGAAAAAATAATTGGATCTTGCAAGGTTTCTCATATGACGTCACAGTCACAGGTGCGCTTGACTTTAGTCATTTGTTTGTGTGTTTTTCTGGTCTATGCCACTTATCTCATCTTCTCTCCTTATTATCAAGTTATTAGTGTCTTTATCTCTTTGGTTTATTGTCCTTTTTCCTTTAGTTTTGACTTTGTTTTTGTTCTTTGTGTTTATTTCCTTTTCTTCTGTTTTGTTTTGTTTTGTTTTTTATTTCTTGTTTACTTGGGTAATTGTTTGTCTTCATCGTTATCTCTCTCTCTCTCTCTCTCTCTCTCTCTGCCCCGTCATTGTACCCTTCTCTGCCCCCCCCCCCTCACCCACCACACTAGCTGAATGACACATCTCCATACAGGAACTCCCATTGGTTATGTCGTACACCTAATAGCCTTCCACAGACGGCAGTTTAACCCTTTAAGACCTATAGTTTAACCCTTTGATGACGCTGATTTAACCCTTTGAGGACGATAGTTTACCCTTTAAGAACTATTGTTTAACCCTTTGAGGACGCTGATTTAACCCTTTGAGGACGCTGATTTAACCCTCTGAGGACGCTAATTTAACCCTTTGAGGACGATAGTTTACCCTTTAAGAACTATTGTTTAACCCTTTGAGGACGCTGATTTAACCCTTTAAGGACGATGGTTTAACCCATTAACGACGATAGTTTAATCCTTTGATGACGATAGTTTAATCCTTTGATGGCGATCGTTTAAGTCTTTTAGGTGGATGGTTTAACCCTCCAGGAGTCAGAAGGTTAATGAATGGTTCTACTACTCTCGGTCATGTTCACAGCCTCAGCACTTTCACTGTAATCCCCCCAAGGTCCCATAGCACTGGTTCACCTCTTCCCTCCCGTCTGTCGTGGTGTTCTCAGCACGGTGGTTGGGCATGACAGTTGTTTACGAGTCGAGATGCATGGAGGTCTCTGTGTGTGTATTTTACTTCGTGAGGAATTAAGCAGTGTTGAGGGTCTTGACTCGTGAGGAATTAAGTAGTGTTTGGGGTCCTACCTCATAAGGAATTAACCAGTGTTTTGGTCCCTGCCTCATAAGGAATTAACCAGTGTTTTGGTCCCTACCTCATAAGGAATTAACCAGTGTTTTGGTCCCTACCTCATAAGAAATTAACCAGTGTTTTGGTTCCTATCTCATAAGGAATTAACCAGTGTTTTGGTCCCTACCTCATAAGGAATTAACCAGTGTTTTGGTCCCTACCTCATAAGGAATTAACCAGTGTTTTGGTCCCTACCTCATAAAGAATTAACCAGTGTTTGAGGTTCGTGAATCAATTATACAGAAGTCTTATATATTTCGTCCCGTATATGAGGTGAATACTGTACAGCAACGTGAGAAATATTGATTTACTAGAGCTGTTGGTGTGTTGACTGTCTACCATGGAGTACTACAGGCAGTTTAGCTATGCACAACTGGCTCGTTTTTACTGTGAGTAACTGAACAATACACATATATAAACCATAACATTGAAATCCCACTTAAGTAGAATGAAAAACACAGTGGGATTTCACGTAAGAGTGTAGTGACCAGTGTTGAAATTAATAAGGTTTTGGGATAATTAATGTCTGTAGATTTGTGGTGGAAGTCAGGTCATGTCTGGTCAATAATTCCTTCATGTTGGGTCAAGTCAGGTCAGTGTTTTTGTTATGTACGTGTTCTCTGGCACCTCATAGTGTACGTAAGTGATATAAGTGGTGGTGGAGGTTAGTAGGTTAAGTGGTAGTGGGGCAAGAGACATTAGTGTGATTTAAGTAAAGTATTTAAGTGTAAAATTATACCACATGACTAAGCTGTAATGGTGAGGGGTGAGGTGATGCTGGCTCGTGGGGTATGAGGGGTTAGGTTAGGTTAGGTTAGGTCTGGTTAGGTTTGGTCTGGTTAGGTTAGGTTAGGTCTGGTTAGGTTTGGTCTGGTTGGGTTACGTTAGGTCTGGTTAGGTTAGGTTAGGTCTGGTTAGGTTAGGTTAGGTCTGGTTAGGTTACGTTAGGTCTGGTTAGGTTACTTTAGGTCTGGTTACGTTAGGTCTGGTTAGGTTAGGTCTGGTTAGGTTACGTTAGGTCTGGTTAGGTTACGTTAGGTCTGGTTAGGTTAGGTCTGGTTAGGTTACGTTAGGTCTGGTTAGGTTACGTTAGGTCTGGTTAGGTTAGTGTGGCCACATCTTAAGGTTCTCATTACTCACTGCTCCCTTAATCATAGGTGTCGTAATAACCAGGCAGTTGACGCTATAATGTCATCATTACGCTTCAACATCAGTAGTTAGTAGTTACAGATCATGTGAGGACCTCAGCTCACAAAACTATCATGACCTTCAAGTCACTTTCACGAACAATGCACTTGTCTTTACCACTTTCACTAGCGACGCACTTGAACTCTTCGCCCTGTATAAACATTGTGAGATAATGACACAAACAATGCAATTCACGAGTGTAATTACCAACAGCATTTGACTCATCACAGAGACATAATTCTAACCTTTATGTTGATGCTCTTGTTTTGTTTTGTTTTTTCTTCCCCCTGTTTATTATTTGATGCTATTTTGTTTCTTCTTGATCCATTCCTCTATTTTTTCCACCTGATGCTCTTTTGTTTCGTAATTCCTTCGTCCTGTTGATCATCTGATGCTCTCTGGTTTGTTAATTCTTTTTCGTTATTTACACCACTGCCAGTTACTATTATCACCACCCATACACCCCTAGTACACTATCACCACTACTACTGTCATCACCCCTACACCTCCACTACACTACCACCACCACTATTACTGTCACCACCACCACCACCACTACTGTCACCACCACTACTGTCACCACCACCAGTATCACCTCTCTACACCAGCCAACACTACAGGTAAAATTAGCCCTGACAGAGAAATCTTCCCACACAAATATTTCTTTCACTCTCAACACATGGGAGAGCTTGGCCTGGCTCTATGTCACGCCCGCCCCCGTGATGTGGCCGTCACTTGTACTGTGTCAACGATGGGGATGATAAGGAGGAGGAGGAAGAAGAGGGGAAAGGATGAAGGTACAGGAGGAGGAGGAGGAAGGGGAGAAGGTACAGGAGGAGGAGGTGGGTGGGGAGGAAGGTCAGGAGAGGAGGAAGAAGATGAGGGAAAGGATGAAGGCAGGAGGAGGAGGAGGAAGGGGAGAAGGTACAGGAGGAGGAGGAGGAAGATGAGGGAAGGATGAAGGTACAGGAGGAGGAAGGGAAGGTAGGAGAAGGGGGAGGAGGAAGAAGATGAGGGGAAAGGATGAAGGTACAGGAGGAGGAAGGGGAGAAAGTACAGGAGGAGGAGGAGAAGGAGGAAGGGTGAGAAGGTACAGGAGGAGGAGGAGAAGGGACAGGATTTTTTTTTATTTAGTTATTTTTTTGCCGCGGACAGCAGCTAGTTTATTGTACACCCATACTTATCCTGTAAGCGAAAGCGCAAAATGATTACAGAGTAGAGGCCACAAAGGGTGTTTATCAGACCCCAGTGACTCATATTATGAATGTTGCAGAGTATTTCTAGT